GAAAGCAAAACTAAGTTAAAAAGAAGTCATGAATGAAAAGGAGCAGAAATAAATATAAACTTACAATATCTGCCCCTACTCACAAAATAAAATCAACCAACTCAAAAGTTCACCATCAGCATACGGCGAAAGTAATTCAACAAACAAAATTACAACAACACACTTTAGACAATATTATAACGCTCCATCATAGTAATTTTTAATGTTTTTTTTAAATACCAAAACAGATTTTTGACTGTTTTATCTCACTATCACGAAATTGAGTTTATTTGACACTAAAACAAAGATGTGTTTATTAAATTCTCCTTTTATTAGTCTGAGGCAAACACAGATTATAAAATGAAGACTGATCCAGAGATGACACCTGTTTCCACGCCACCCACCCTCTCCTCTGCAGCTCTGCTTTCTCCAGTTTGCATCCAAAGTAGTGAGGATCAACAACCAGTAAGTAGCTCCCCCTGTCCCCGGTGCAAACCCCCAACACAGCCTTAGAGGAGTTGTCCCTGTCTCCCCCCATCATGACAGGAGACCCATGCTTTTCAAAGTGTTGGTGAAGCTCCTCCACTGCCACCTGCTCCAGCTCGGCCCCTCCACCTCGAACATGCACCACCTTACAGGGCACGTCGTAGAACCAGTCCAGAACCAGGGAGGCTTCAAATGTTCCTATCCACTCCCTGGAGCCGGAGAAAGAGCCTGGCTTATCCCCCATGGAAACCAGGGCTTGTTGGACTTCCAGAAGACTTGGTGCCAGTTTGTTCTGGTTCTTAACCGAGGAGCAGTTGTAGTAAATCCAGGAGGCCATGGTTTGGATGGTCCGGTATCCACACCCCCAGCCTCTGTCATCTTGTCCATCACAGCCGTAGTGGAAGTAAAGATAATCTCCTTTTATCTGTGAGCTTTTTACAGGATGTGAAACTGGATCAGGAAGACCAGAGTGAACATTTTTTAATAAGACATCAGTCTTCTGAGGAGTCCCCTTCTCTGCTCCACTGAAACCCCAGTCAATGTGTTCCTCAGGCACTGCTGCTGCTGCTGCTGCTGTGTTTTCATCCATTCTTCAACACTCTTTAACTTCTTCTAAAATAATTAATTCCCAAAGATCAGTTCTGCTTATCCGGTAGTCCTCAAGTGTAACAGGAACAACATTCCCTTACGCAAAAAAGGTTCCGCTTTAGAGTGAACGTCACCATTTTAATGTAACACTTTCTGTGCAGGATTGAAAAACGTGACTATTTTGAGAAAACGTACCGCCGCCACAGGAAGTGTATTTCAAAACGCTCGGGTTAACAAAAATAAGTAAATAAATTAATGAATGAAGCTTAAAAGTGACGACATAACGTTTGTGTTTAGTGACTAAAAGAACAAAGTTATTTGTTATAATTAATATGGAGGCAAACTAGGCTAAAATGCACACCGTTTTATTTTTAAACAGGCATTAGTTATAGCTCCAAAGTTCACACTGCCTTCACCTTGGATTGTGCAATAATCTAAACAGATTTTTTTTAAATGTCAGTCACCTAACCACACTTTAAAATTATTTCGCGTAATCCAAATCTTTAAAAAGTTTATTACTTTTATTCTAAGAGATAGAATATAAATCATGCATGGGGTCCTGACATTCCAAGCATGCCACAACAGGCGCCCTGATTACATATAAATAAAATATTATTGAATGGTGATTTTAATAAATATAACAAAATGTATGTTTATAAATCCGTTTTGATTGTTATTTTGTCGTAATAATATAAATTACCTTGAAATTCGATTTGTTGATGCGAGCTCTCTTTACCGTGGATGTACATTTTCTGGCACAACACCTAGCAGCCGAAACCATTTCCTGTTTGGATCTCCGTGGAGAGAAAACATGTCAGCTTCGAATTGAAGCAATTTTCGGGATTTTAATCTGCTTTCTGAAGGTAATTGTGTTTGTATATGGATGGAGGAGGAACTGTTATGACGCTTTTCTCTGTCTGCATTTAATCAGCCACGAATTAGATATTTATTAATTTTCGGTTCCAACATTAGCATTGCTGCTAGCATGAAACGATGTAAACATCGGCTGCAGAATCATGAGGCTCCTCATTCTCGTCATATTCTGCTGGTGGTTTAAGTTTCCCATGAAAAATTACCAAAATAATAAAATAATATTTTTGTCGTGTAGCTGTTTTTGTGCCCTAAATAAAAACAAACCTGTGATTTTGTTTACTTAGCATTTACTGTGAAGATTCTTTTTGGGATTTTTTTGTCCAATTGATTTTTAAGCATTTAAAAATAAAACAGTAGGTAAGAAATGTGTATTTTTATATAATAAATCACAATGTTTTCAGTGCACACTATTGTGATTCGTTTCCCATCCAAGTCATCTCAACTTTGCCATGCTTCTCCTCCTGCATACTTTGTCGTAGAGCTGCCATTGTAATTTATATCTGTAAAGCCCCTGTGCCAAATGATGGCTATGCCTTTTGGTGCCTGTAAAACTTATAGTTTTTGAAATATCAATGTTTAATAAATTATAATGGCAGTCAATGGAGCCTTGTATATTGCAATACTGCCCCCTGCTGCATCTACACATTATGGTACTGCACCTTAGTTTCATAATATTTAAACTCAGTAGTTCAGTGATTACAATATTAATATGATTGTATTTTGATGTTTTACTGTAATACTGTATTTATGTTGTCCTATTGCTGTAATATATTGCACTTAAGTGTCAATAATTGCATTGACAAGGTAAACTTTTTCTGTATACATACAATCTAATCCCTGGGATTGTCCTCTGCCACATCTCCTATAGTCTCATGATGAGCACTGTGGGCTTTCATGCGTGAGATCAGGGTTCAAATCCAGCTACTGCTACTTTAACAAAAATCTCTTCAAACTTCATATTGTCACCCAATTACCTTAATTACAAACACCTGCTGATGTGACAGGAACAAGTTGGTATAGAAAACACATTTGAACTTGGTCGAAGTTCATTCTGAAAGTCCAATGCTCCTGCCTACATTGTCCTACAGCTGCCATTGTAATTTCTATCTGTAAAGGTCCTGTGTCAAATGATTGCTATGCCTTTTGGTGCCTGTACAACTTGTAGTTTTTGAAATATTAACGTTGAAACTTTATTCCAAATTCATAAAATGGTAGTCAATGGGGCCTTGTAATGGTCCAATACTGCCTCCAGCTGTACTCAACTTGGTACTGCACCATAGTTTTTTAATATTTAATCTCAATAGTTCAGTGTTTACAGTACTAATATGATTGTATTTTGATGTTTTACTATAATATTGTCTTAATACTGCTCTATTGTTGTAATATTATGCAGTTTAGTGTCAATAATTGTATTGGCAATGTGGCCTCTTTCTGCACACATACAAACCAACCCCTGCCACCTCCTTCAGCCACAACTCCATTGGTCTAATGGTCTATGTCATGGACTTTCATGTGGGAGATCAGGGTTCAAAACCTGGCTAATGCAACTTTAAGAAAAAATCTCTTCAAACTTCATATTGTTACACAGTTACCTTAATTCTAAACACCTGCTGACGTGACAGGCACAAGCTGGTATAGAAAACACATTTGAACTTGGTCAAAGTTCATTCTGCAAGTCCATTGCGGCAGGCAATGACATGCTACGTGGCAATGCACACTTGTTTTTACATCGTAAAAACCCATGTCTAGTTTTATTTGCTTTTCCCAGCAGCTTTCTAACTGGACCTTTATTGTATTTCTGCAGAGAAACATGACAGAGCCACGAAACCCTGGGATGTCCACCGTTCCGCAGACCCACCCGGCGCACACCGAGTCCACCTCCCCAGCTGTGGAGATGGATCCAGTGGAGTACACCCTGAGGAAGCGCCTCCCCCGGAAGCTTCCGAAGAGGCGGAACGACGTCTACGTCAACATGAAAACCGATTTCCGGGCTCAGCTGGCGCGCTGCCAGAAGCTGCTGGACGGCGGCGGTCACAGGGAGATCTGCGTGCACGGCCTGGGCCTCGCTATAAACCGGGCCATCAACATCGCCCTCCAGCTGCAGGCCAGCAGTCAGGGAGCGCTGCAGCTGGCTGCCAACACCTCCACGGTGGAGCTCGTGGACGACCTGGAGCCTGAAGATCCCGATGAGGCCGGGGAGCCCATGACCCGTACTCGTAACAATTCAGCCATTCATATCAAAGTTTTCTACCCGGACCCTCAGTGACCTAAACCAGTGCTTCCTGTGGAAATCACAAGTTCTCCTTGTGTTTATTTTAAACCTATAGACCAAAAAGGGGAAAAAAAAGGTTTATGTAGATACCCATGATCACAGCATGTCGAGACTTCATAATGAAGCTTTTGAATTTATTTGTGTTCACTAGTGAACTATTCTGAAGTCCTCCCTTGTGGGAAGCTTTTGTTGACTTTTCAATGAGTTGTGTTGTTGTTTATCAGGTGAAACTTGAACATCTAACATTTGGTGATGTGCGTATTTGTTCTACTTGTTATTTTGCATGTTCTAAATACAAGAAATAAACAGATAAATCTTCTTTAAAGTGGGTGCTGTTGCTTCAAACATCCACTAGAGGGCGTTATTCAGCCCCAGTAATTAAACCTAGATGTTATCTCTGCAGGCAGACGTCAGTGGCAGCTTTCACCCACCAAGTCATCTCAGACTGTTTACAGTGAAGGGTTCAGATATGGGTTATCACATAAACAATTATATTTGTTTGTTGGAATCTTGAAGGTTTGTTGGTGTTTATTTGGTCAAAACTGATGTGGTTGAAGATTGTTTTTGATTTCAAAGAGGGGGAAAAAATGCTTGAATCAACGACCACAATTCCAAAGAAGTTGGATCAGTTTTAAAATGGAAATAAAATCAGAATGCTAATTTCATACTCCTATATTTTATTCACAATTGAACACAGTAAACATAAAATATTTCATCTAATTAATTGTGTTTTGGGAATACACCAGTTTTGGATGATCTGGCAGCAACAACTCAAAAGTTCAGCAGGTTTAAATTTACTGCTGTGAAGCAAACTCTTCTCCCAGATGTGCATTTTTTCACATTTAAAGACATTAATGCACCCCCATACCATCAGCGAGGCAGGCTTTTGATCAGTGTGCTGATGACGGGTCTCATGGTCCCTCTCTGTGGTACAGATGATGTGACCTTTGTGGTTTTTAGTAAATTTGATCCAGAGAAGACTGCAGCATTTCTGGGTGGCTCAAATAAGGTGTCTTTGCATGATTGAGCTCTAATCAACCAACATGCATACTGAAAAGCTCACTCCACAGCAATGGTAGTGACTTGCATGTCCGTTGATTGGGCTTGCAAGATTGAAAAGAAATATATGGTCGGTGTTGTATTTCTGGACTTCTTGGCTGCTTTTGATATAGTTGACCATTTATTAATGCAAATCTCATGGCTTTGAGCAATCTGTACTAAATTGATCTTAATCTGTGAAATAGGATAAAAATGGTGTTCTTTAATGGCAGTTATACTGAAACCAGAATCACAACATGTGGAGTACCCCAAGGGTGGTGTCTTGGTCCATTATTATTCAATATTTTCACAAATGATTTGCCATATGTATTAAATAAAGCTAACATGTCTGCATGTATGCAGATGATTCAACCATATACGTTAGCATTTACTACAAAAGAATTAGAAACTATTATAAATAATGTATTAAAAGTAGCAGCAGAGTGGGTTAAAGAAAACAAGATGGTCCTGAATATATCTAAAACTAGCTGTTTGACTAGTATCAAATTTTAGTATTGATAAGAATCTGGAATTAAATTCAAATGAAAAATATCACTATGGACCAGGAATCTGAGATCAATATTCATTTTATTTTTACAATAATAAGCTGTAGTTTTACTGCAGCTAATATTCCCAAATAAATAACCAGGATCTGTGGATGAGGTGTTGATGTACTGAACAGATCAGACTTGTTTTAATGCCAGTTTTAGCTTCAACTTTTGCTATTTTCACTGTGTTCCACCATGAAAAATTTTGAATTTATGAGATTTACATTCTGGTTTACACCCCACACTCCATTCCAACTTCTTCAGATTTTAGCTTGTGCATTTCCTTGAATTTAATTTCTGTAAACAAGACATGAAAACAAGGCTGGATGACTGTAAAACTTGTGCAGCATGAATTAATTGTTTGTTCTCAGTGGATGTTTGTTTTTTAATTCGACTGCTCTTAGCGACAGAGATAAAAAAATGAACAAACTTCCCGTTGTTGTTTCCTTCTATCCTTTCTTTATCCAAGCACAGTATTTTTGTATTTAAATAGTGGATTTTTGCAGCAATGGAACAAAACGATACAAAAAACAGGAAAGAAAACAGACCAACATCCTCAAAAACATCTTGCACTTGCGCAACAAAACATAAAAATACGGAAGACAACAACTCTTAATGAACGTAAAAGAGCAGAGCATCTTTTTTTTTTCAAATTAGCCCCGAAGTTCCCAGGATGAGAAGATTGCCTGTTTTCTGTTTGACAAACAGCGGAGGAAGGGAAAAAAAACAAAGCGAGCGTCAGGTTCTGGAAATCTTTTTGCAATCACGGCTCCACAGGATGTTAATTGTAAATTTTCCAGGCGGTCTGGCTATCAGTGTGCAGAGACGGGATGAGTGTTGGGGCTAGACAGAAACTGAAACAAAGATAACAGGCTCATCATTCCCATGTGACCCTCCACAGGGACTTCTTGCTCTCACACTACGAATGAAACTAATAGAGCTTTTGGCTTCTGTTCTTGGAGTAAGTGTAACACAGATGTCCTTTAAATTTATATATATATTTATATATAAAAAAGGAGGAGCAGCTTGACTTTGCAAATCATGAGAATATCTTTGCATGTGTGCAAAATGTTCAGTGGTACAAAAAGTGAACATTTAATTGAGGATCTATAGCTAAAGACTAGAGCCTGAAAGTAGAAAATCTGTATAAATAGCTATTACATATATTAAAAATAATAGAATACTACACTGACCAGTTCCAAAAGACAAGAATATTATTTCTAAGAGGCATGGTTGAAAAATGATAAAAGGCGTTTAGAGTGAAAACCCTCGTTCTGCCTCGTAGTCCTCCAGTTTTCAGGTGCAATCTGTATTTTCTTTCTCTCTACAGAAATGAGTGTGGGGGGTCAAACCCCTTGAAAACAGAACACGCAGTGAAACGTCCAACGTCGAGTCATTCATACGAGTACGTCCTCACAGAAAGTGCAAGAGAGTGCCTGTAGAACAGCTATTGGAGCGGTGCTTCTCAAAGGCATCGTTCTGGTCAGTATGTGCTTCAACATGTCCACGAGACGCGTCTACATTCCAAGGTGCTGTCATCTCCTGTCCATCTGTAGCATTTCCTGGAAGTGTCTTTTCCTTTTAGATCGCTCCCCTATACACAGAGACTCTTCCCACACTGCATCCAGCTGCTGAACAAAGTCAAGTTCCTCCACGTGCCTTAGGAAACACGAGTTACTTTTGCCTGGTTTAGAAGGCCGGTCGGCCGATCAGCTGACGTCTTGCCGACAAGCCTGCGCGTCCAAGAGCAGCAGGCGCACTTTCCCTCGCAGGAAGTTTACGTGAACTTGGAGCAGCTCTGCTGCCGAGGACACCCGCCACGTTCCCGGGAGTCCCGCTGCACTGGCTGGTGGAGTATATTCCTGGAACAGAATACAAGGAAACATTACGTACGAGTCCACATACAGGCAGTTCATTCAGTTTAACTACTAGAGCTCGGCTCGAACTGGACTCATTTCAAAGGTTGTGTTATCACAACATGCAATCGAAGAACAAGCTTGCGCAGTGGTATCAGTACCTACGGCATCGTCATGAAAGGACTACAGTCTAAAAGCATGTCTCATGATATCCCTCGATTGCTCAAGAGCAATTACCCAAGAAGGCACCACTATTCTCTTTTTAGAAACTGAAATAAAATATGACTGTTTTCTATTAAGAAGTCCACCCTCTTTCAGATTCAGGGTTTACTTATCAAAGCATAAAATAAATCATCTGGTTATTGCCAGAATCTAACATTGTCCTGATCTGACCTCAAGTGTACAAAACCGCAGAGGAAAAGACCCTGGTGCTACTTATCAACCTGGAAAGGGTTAAAGATAATTTCCAAACAATTCAGAGTCCATCGTTGTACAGAAGAAAGGTTAATTCACAAAGTAAAAACATTTAGGACAGCTGTCAGAGCTCCCAGGATAATTTGTCCTTGCAGATTAACTCCAAAGTTGGATTGTACAACGATTAGACCTTTATATATCAGCTATTCCCTCTCTGCACCTTTGTGGCCTCTGCGTCTTGTAGTTTCACTGTTCCACCAGCCTCTCTCTCATTCACACACTTACTCTGTCACACTACAGCTGACTTTCATTCCTCTTATTTCAAGTGCATACCTCCACCTCTTCAAATTCTCTTCCACCTCTTCTCACCACAGATCAGAGTGTCATCTGCAAACATTGTAATCCACAAAGATAACGGTCTGTCCTCATCTGTTGGTCAGTCTATGGCTGTGTCCAAATTCAGAGGTTGGGTCCTTTGATATACCCGGCCTACCCGGTCTTATTGGGCCAGGTCCACGGTAGACCACGAAGACAGGAAAAAAATGGCTATGAATTTGGACATCTAGCCTCCCATCCTTACTCCGGCGTACGCCATGTCGTCTAACAACTGTGACGACACTAAACAGAAGCAAAATTAGATTGAAATTAGCAAAATATTAATATATTAGTATTATAAATATAAAACAAAAAATTAGCTAGCTTAAAGGTAATATTTGAAGAACTAAGGGAGCCATTGTAGGTGCATGTTTATTTCACTATACCAGCTCGTTTGATTTCTGACAAGAGTAATATAAAAAACATGTCTATAGAAATGATAAAAACATTAACAACACAACCGCTTGAAACTTTTAATTTTTATTCTGCCAGGTTTTTATTTAAAACTGTACTCCTTTCTCTCGCTTTATCTGCCATTATGTGCAGAAAAAATTTCTCCGGTTTGGCCCACAATGCATTATGGGATAGGATAGGCCGAGAAGGATCCATAGGACCCGTCCCTTAAATCGGGGAAAAGGGAGGACATATTTGTTGGCCGCATTGGAGGAGTCTTCGAATTTGGACAGCCTCCATCGCAGCACTGTGATGTAAGTGGCCGACAAATTCGGCTGTCAGGGTATGCAGCCCCTGAATTTGGACACAGCCGGTATCTGTCATACATCTCACCATTGTCCTGCTGTCCTCCTACATGTCCAACTGTAGGAGACTCAGTCTTCTCTGTGCTTCTCCATCTGCATCCTCAAAGTAAAGATTGTATCTATGGCAATTTGTCTTGGCATGAAACCATACTGTTGCTCACAGTCACCCTAATTGCAACAACCCCATCTCAGACTCAACAGGTCTCATCATGCTACTGTAAAAGTTCATAGCAGGAAAATTACTGAGACTGAATGGGTCTGGTTTGTTTGGAAGGACTGCAAGGAAAAATGCTTTTTATTTTTTAACAATAAGGGTTTTTATGTCTACTGACTGCAACAAACTGCCCCTCGGGTAAAGTTAAGATTCTTGAACAACATGGCATCACCACGTAGGCTTGGGAAGTCCCATCTGAATGTACCACAAGACTTCTGGGACAATGTCCTCTGGACATATGAGACCTAAACAGAGATGCTGCACAGCATAATGTTTAAAAAGAAACAGAATACCAACACTTCATTTCAACACAGAACAAAGAAGGTTGATGGTTTCTGCATCATTGACAATGAACTCTACTGTAGACCATCTGGAACCAAATGAGTCCATCTGTCCAACAGCAAAACTTGGACCAGGGTGGAGTCTGTTGTGTGTTTTTGTACACTTGAGGTGAGATTTGAATAAACTGTATTATAGACCTGAGCTTCTGCCTCAAACTTGACCAATTTATTGTTTCAGTGGTCATTTCTGCAGAAGTGTCCAGTCTCCACTTCTGACGTTCTTCCCATTGCCACACAAACTCGTGTGAATTTTTTTCTGGTTGCAGCCTCTAAGCCTCGCACACTCTAGTGGAGCTCTCATGGTTTGTAAATTCCACTTCACAATCTTTCCGCACTCTTGACTGTCCTGTCAGCTATTTCCTTACCACGCTGACCCTGATCAGATCCCCCTGTATGGTTCGGAAAATCAGATTTTACCCTCTGCCCTAACCTTTCACACTCTTGTTCAATATGTAGTACACAGACATGGTTTGGTTTCCACGTGAACTCTAGACCATTCAGATTCATAAAATAAATACAACTTTGATGCCGTCAGACACAAACATGAAACGCTCAACTTCTTGTGTCTTTTCTTTTTCTTCCTCCTGATATCCCCAAAGAAAACGTTAAGGTGGAAGACCCGCCTAAATAGCTGGTGTTTGGTATTTATTGGTGTCAAACGCCTGCTCAGCTTTTATTTTGAAACAACCAATTAATACATTTTATAGGTGCAGAACCTCAACAATAATTGAAACATTGTAAGACAGAGGTAAATGTCTTCCTTACTAAGCTAGTCTGGATGAAAATAGACAGATACTAAAAGCCAAACACCTTAATTTCCTCAGAAAAATCTTTAGAAAAATGACCTAATTTGAATGAAACTTTATAAGCGAGGTTGATTTTTTACTACAACACTGTACTACGTCACAATACAATAAAAACGATAGAACTGAAAATAAGAGTGTAGACATCCGTCATAGTCAGTTAATATTTCCTCTATTGAGACCTGAGATGCCCTCTGACTATGGGAAGTAATCTGCAGATTGTGGATTATTTCTGGCTGCGATAACACATTAATAGAGACTGCTGTGTTTTTGTTTTGGCTAAAACTTGGCTCCAAACCAACATCTCTGACTCGGCAAAGAAGCTGGATGGCCCCAAACATCCTTCCGTGCAAACAGAAGCGCAGAAAGTTCGAGTAGGATCCAAGAAGGTGAACTCTGTGTGACATCAACAAGTGGTGGAGCTGAAGTGGGATTACAAGTCGCTGGTTAGAAATGTCAAAGACGACTCGGTGTTCACCAACATTAAAGAGGGTTACTGTCTCATGTTTCTGTTCTGTTTATTTAGAACATAAAACAACATTGAGACAGTAAGGATATAAAAAAGACAGTCAGGTAAAAGATGCAATACAGCGGGTAAAATAAGTATTGAACACGTCAACATTTTTCTCAGTAAATATATTACTAGAGGAGCTAATGACATGAAATTTTCACCAGATGTCGGTAACAACCCAAGTGATCCATACATACAAAGAAATCAAATCATAAACCAAAACGAAACAAAACAAAGGAAAAAAAAACCAACAAAACCCCGAAAATGTCTGGTGAAGTGGGACAAGTCTTACTGTAGAAAACTTCATTCATTAACAGACAAAAAAAGATAATAAAATTAGTT